GCTTGGAGTACTCAGTAAGTTTTATGCTTTAGCATCCTTGCATGCGTGTGAGTGACTGCCATGATAGCATGCTTACCATGAGGCTAATTGCTTATGTGATATATCTGCCTGAATGCCTGTGGGTGAAGGTTGGGTTATTTGGATTGGAACAATTCATTCACTGCGTGTTTTAAGCCCACTAGATAGTGGCAAAATCATGTTTTCTAAGCCCACCTAAGGGTGGCAAATCCACGTCTTAGCCTACTTGAGGGTAGCACCATCAAACCATTTTCAAACAAACAAACATGAAATGTTTTGTTCCAATTTAGGCGATCCATTCTATACTTGTATGCTGTGTGCATCACATAATAATCTAGGCTAATAACCGGAATAAGAACGCATAATGTTTTCAAAAATAGATATCATGGTTAGTAGAGGCCGATCTTTGATCAGGCGAGCGGGGGTGCTCACGAAGTGCCCTCCCCCAATCTTACCCAAGTTCCCGAGCCGAGACAACTTTGGTGATGACAGACACGTGGGTTAGGCAAACGAGTCAGGTTTTCGCTTAAATTTCCCCAAATAAATATTAGGTGGCGACTCTGTATCTGGCAAAGCAGTCCATGTTTGGCACTTCTTTCAAAATCTGTTTCTCAAAACGATTTGCTGGATTTGGACTCTTTGGTTCAAATTTAGAACCGTGACAAATTGAGAGTCCGAACTGTAGTGAGCCCAATATCGAACGGAACGAGGGACTCGTTCCTCCCCGGGGCGTTCGGTGACGTCTACACACGCCAACCACGCTGGACTCGTGAGTGGAGGAAGAACAAAGAAAATCAAATCTGGAGCGCGTTCCACGCACCCTAAGATAAATTCCAAACACGCTGAAATCGTGTGAGGGAAAAGAACACTTTAACCACGCTGAAATCGTGAGAAGAGGTTCGAAAACAATTGCTCAAGTGCACACGCAACACAACTAGAGATAAAATCCAAACACGCTAAAATTGTGTGAGGAGCGGGACACTCAAACCACGCTGAAATCGTGAGAGGAGGTCCAAACACAAACCGCCCAGCGCGTCTACAATGCAACCTAGGATAAATTCTAAACACGCTGAAATCGTGTAAGGAAGGGGACACTCAAACCACGCTGAAATCGTGAGAAGAGGTCCGAAAAACCGCTCAAGTGCGCACACAACGCAACTTGAGATAAAATCCAAACACGCTGAAATCGTGTGAGGAAGGGGACACTCAAACCATGCTGAAATCGTGAGAAGAGGTCCGAAAACAACCGCCCAGGTGCATACACAATGCAACCTGAGATGAATTCCAAACACGCTGAAAATGCGTAAGGAATGGAACACTCAAACCACGCTGAAATCGTGAGAGGAGGTCCAAACAACAACCGCCCAGGTGCGCACACAACGCAACCTGAGATAAATTCCAAACACGCTGAAATCGCGTAAGGAACGGGACACTCAAACCACGCTGAAATCGTGAGAGGAGGTCCGAAAACAACCGCCCAGGTGCATACACAACGCAACCTGAGATGAATTCCAAACACGCTGAAAACGCGTAAGGAATGGAACACTCAAACCACGCTGAAATCGTAAGAGGAGGTCCAAACAACAACCGCCCAGGTGCGCACACAACGCAACCTGAGAAGGTCTCGGAGGACAACGATTCTAAACGCAGCACGGTGCAAAAGGATATAAGATAACACAAGATGTAAATAAACGCAACAAGTACGATGATACAATACATGTTACAAGCAATGTAGAGCATGATGTTTAGGGAATGCAATGAATAGACAAAGCGGCACTCTAGAAAGCACCTTATGGAGTGAGTGGCGGTAAACCGCTTTACTCTAACGGGGAACAGTACTCAGGGAGAGCACTTCTGATCGCCATTCTGGCTTGAAATAGTAAAACAGTCAACACAGTATTCTGTTCAATTTGAACACACAGTTCGTATCGGCACACAGTATCCGGTTTACTCGGCACACAGCTCAGTCTAAACAGACAGTCCGATCTGAAAACACGGGATGTAAAAACGGAACCTGTAGAAGTTGAAACAAACTCAGATGCTCCAAATTTTCCCTCTTTTCTTTTGCTTTGCAGTCTGGAACCCATATAGCTTCAGATAGGTCCTGGTTTTACTGTTCTCACATGACCTAGGTAGAATCCTGCGTTTTTTTTTTTTTTTTTTTTAAAGAACAAAATCTTGTTTTGTACAAATGTAGAGAACGACACGGCACTCCTAAGCACAAAACGATTCATTTTGAAATTGAGAAATGAATTCTTAACCCGGTATTGAGCCTACAACTGACCATAGCCAAAAAGACTGAACAACGAAAAACAAAAGGTAAACAACCTAAACACATCGAGAGACACTCAGAACGACTCAAAGCAAGAATTGAGACAAACAAAACAAAAGACACGACACACAGACGTGTTACCAAGACGAGAGACCTCTCAGTTCGCGAGGAGCCAATTTCTCCGGGTATTGTTTCCCAGCATTTCTTATTTGTGATTCTCACATCACTGGGCCCTCAGGCTCGGCTTTTCTCACAAAACCCTTTTTCTCACTTTTTCTCTCAGCGCACATCTCTCTATTCTTTAATCTCTCATTTTTTATCCCTCCCCTGGGTGGTTGATGGATAAACAAGAAGTTGCGGGCTCTTGCCCCTAGCATTCTGCTAGATTCTTTTTCTTCTGCGCACAGCTAGTGAATTCCTCCCACAGAGGAATTGCGCTACAACTGGGTGTGTAGCAAATCTGCAGCTGGCATCGGCTGTCGATGCTCTACCGGGGAGTTTGGATGTGGTTAGATCTGCCCAGATGAGGGAGTGGGATATCTTGATCCATTCCAGTTCGTGCTTCGCACTCGGCTTGATACCTCGTTGCTTGGAGGATGAGAGAGCTTTCAGCTCCTTTGTTGACAATTTCAACTGTGCCCTTTTCTGGCAGGGAGAGTGCCCTTCTTGGCCAGTATGGTGCCCTTTCTGGCAAATGCACTGACAACGGGGGGGAAAGACAGGAAGCCTGACTCAACTGTGCCCCTAGTTCATCATTTTGACCAATTTTTTTTTTTTTTGCTTTCTACTAAAACAATTTTGACCAACATGAGAGTTAGATTAACGCGCTTGTTCGATTTTCTGATTTAAAATCTTGCAAGTTAGGCTATGAGCACTGAGAGTTTTCCTTTTTTGGGTCCAAGAAATGGTCTAGTTTTGAAAAATGGAGTACTTTTCGAGAAGATTAGTCAACCTCAGTAAAAATTTTCAAAAACTATTTTTGCAAACGACCACTGCTCAACGAGCACGGAACCTACTCTTGAGATGCACAACCTCGGACCCATAGCAATGAAAAATTGCCCCTTGTCTGAAGGACACTGCAGGGCAATGGAAAGTTGCCCCCTGTTTGAAATGACACTGTGGCGTTTTGAATGGCAATGGAAAGTTGCCCCTTGTTTGGATAGCACCGCAGCGCATTGTAGTTAGTCCTCAGAGCGACGAACACAACTAGACTCTCAGATACAGAGAAGACAAAGATGACCAAAACCATCGCATGGACACAATCGAATTTGAAGTGTTTTACGACTGGACTTCAAAATGAAGTTCCCTACGTATCCCAAAGATGGGAATCAAGCCTCACGTAGTTCGGGGATTTAGGTACACTCGGGTATTAACCTCTCCGTTTGCGCTCTAACTTTTTCCAAGGCCGTCCTTCCGGGTTTTCAACCTTGCGAGCTATATTTTTCTTCTTTTCAATTTTTGTGTTCTTTCTTTTCTTTTCATTTCTTTTTTGATTTTCTTTTTTTGTTCTTTTCTTTGCATCTTTCTTTTTTGTTCTTTTGTTCTTTTCTCTTTTTTTGTTCTTTTTCTTCTTTTCTTGCTCTAACTTTTGCCTGGGCCGCCCTTCCGGGTTTTCGGCCCAGCGAGCCTCTCCATGTCAAATGGTTTTGAGACCCCGAAGTCATCTGAATCCAGGAGAATGGCTGTTGTTCGCTGACGATGCAAGACTCCATCCAATGGAGGGTGAATTTGCCCCTAGTGTTTGTGGATAGGAACTCGGTTGTCCTTCAACAATGTCTTCTTCTTTCATCCCTTCTGGGGTTTGGCATTCTTGCCGATCTTCATCTTGGACTCTTCGAGCACATTTGAAATTCTTGCCCCTAGTTCGAGGGGTGTTCCTGATCTAGCTTCGCAAGCTTCTTGATTTGACTTTGTTGCCACTAATTCACGGGCTGCTCTGGATCCGGCCACACAGGCCTTACATTGTAGTTGACCTTTGAACTTTCTGAGTTCTAGTCCAAGGTTTGAAAATGAGGAGTCGAGTCTCGAGGCTGAGAGCGATCCTAAGCTGCACAATCTCAAGAGCGATTCCACACAGGTCTTCGCAGGACCGCGCAAAATATTTTTTGAAAAACTTTTAAGAAAGCCCCTGAGATTGCCTTTGTGTGAATGCTACTAATCCTTTTGTGGCTGAAATACACATTCCTCTCATCTATTTTTGTTCTATTTCTCTGCTCATACCCTGTTGATCCTTTTGGGTTATTGTTCACACTTCAAAGCCATAGAGCATTCCCGTTTTCAACCCCTAAATCCTTCTTAATTAAGCTCTAACCAACCCTAAACCCTTGCTCCTCACTAGCCTTCAAGTTGACAATTAAACCCATAAAATTTCCAGTCTAGGCCTTCTTATCATTCCAATTTAGAAAATTCAGAAACTCGAACTTTTGAAATCAATCAATTTAAGCCTTTTCCTTTCAACGAACCCTACAACCTTCGTTAGTTTTGCTACCATATGCATCAAGTCACACTTGATATGTGAATATGGGAAGAAGTAATAGTATGCGTGACTAGTAGTGACAACTACAATTTCAATGGCTATATATGACATTCTGAAAACCAACAAGTTTTGAGCAAAACAATATCCATAATCTCTCTATAATGATGTACTGCTTCAACTCGAGGTTCAAATAGCATCTCTTGTTTCTACGATGTCAATGGATTGTTAGATTTTCACGACTGTATGTCACTTTCCCCTACAGGAAATCGGGAGACTGCAGAAAGTCCAAGGCCCTAGTGCCATCAGCGCAAAAGATGAGATGGCGAGGCTGTCACGCCATCTGGGTTCATTGCCTCTTCTAGCAAAACACCGAATAAACTGCATTCGAACGGCCATTAAACGGAATATGGAGGTGCAGAATTATGCATATGCGAAGCAGATGCTTGAGCTCCTCCTGTCAAAAGCGCCTGCAAGCAAGCAAGATGAGTTAAGAAGCCTGATTGACATATGTGTTCAGCGAGGTTCATCCAACAAATTCATTGATCCTTTAGAAGACCCCTCCCAGTTCTGCGCGGCCACACTTAGTCGTCTGTCAACTATTGGATACGACGTTTGTGATCTCTGCGGGGCCAAATTCTCTGCTCTTTCGACTCCTGGCTGCATTATCTGTGGTATGGGAAGCATCAAAAGATCGGATGCACTTGCAGGACCCGGACCTGTTCCTTCACCATTCGGCTGAAAATTGATTTACACATTTCTCCAATTCAATTAACTTCTTGATAATTTTGTTTTGTTCCTTGTGTTGTAGAGTCCCCATCTCCCTCTCTACCTACCGGAAGCCTTTGCCATTGTTTTTTTAGAAAATTACTCACTTCATGGCCAACAGGAAGGGAAATAGATGTGCTGGTTGGAATATAGTGGAAAATTTTCTTGTCTTGTAGATGAGTGTATTTTTGTTCTCCAATGTG